CTTTCCCTCGGTTAGGATTCAACTTGGTTTGATGAACTGATTTGGTCGGCATTGTGTATCAAAGTTGACGAGTCTTTGGATGGTAACAACTGCTGAAAAAAGTTAGGATCTTTACTTATCTCGGGTAGAATACGATATACCGAGCCCTTTTCTTGATTCCTCTCGGACCCTTTGCCCATAAATGGAGTTTAATTTTCTGCCATTGTAGGACCAGTAGGAAGTTCTCTACTCAATCTAAAACAATGTCCCCGTGTATTTATGAGGATGAAATGTAAAAGAAAGATCACAGAGACCATGTGAGGATAAATGCAGTAATGTCCCGAACCTTCAATATTTTCCGGACAGAGCATCAATCATGTCTTTCACACCCGAGATGATTGCAAAAGATGCTTTGATTATGTTATCCTGGACTGTTACATCTTCCATAACATATCTGTTAACTGAGGTGAACTCATCTCGTCATTACAGGGCGAAAGTTGCAGCTTGCGCTAAGCACTTTGTCGGAGATGGAGGTACAGTAAGAGGGATCGATGAGAATAACACGGTGATTGACGCTAAGGGACTGTTTGGAATTCACATGCCAGCTTATTACAATGCTGTAAACAAGGGCGTGGCAACTGTTATGGTGTCTTACTCGGCCTGGAACGGTCTGAGAATGCATGCTAATAAGGATCTTGTCACGGGTTTCCTCAAGAACAAATTGAAGTTCCGGGTAATGATAACAATAATCAGATTTTCTTTATAAAAAGAGCTAACTTTCGAGATCTGACTCGTTCAGGCTATTCCTCGTGAAAAGTTTAAAACTTTATCTTTTTTGGGTTTCTGGGGATGGTTTTCTTTGCAGGGTTTTGTGATATCGGATTGGCAGGGCTTAGACAGAATCACCACTCCTCCTCATGCTAACTATTCATACTCTGTTTATGCTGGTGTCAATGCCGGAATTGACATGGTGAGTTTCATGTCTGGTCTAACTGGATGACATGCATACGTACAAGCCTGTTCTGTTTTTTTTTTGTTCCTTGATGATTCAAGAAAGCCGGGTTTCTGATGCAGATCATGGTGCCATATAACTACACTGAATTCATCGATGAACTGACCAGTCAGACCAAGAGAAATCTCATTCCGATGAGTAGGATTGACGATGCGGTGAAGAGAATCTTGAGGGTCAAATTCACTATGGGACTCTTCGAGAACCCCATTGCCGATCTTAGCCTCGCTAACCAGCTCGGAAGCAAGGTCTGTTCATCACAAGATTGGAGCTAAGCTGTAGAAGTAATTAGCCTTTGAACGAGGATTATTGACTATATATGTAAACATGTTTCCTTTTGACAGGAACACAGAGAGCTAGCTCGGGAAGCCGTGAGGAAATCTCTGGTTCTTCTAAAGAACGGGAAAAGTGCTGACAAGCCGTTGCTTCCACTGCCAAAGAAAGCAGGAAAGATCCTTGTCTCGGGAACTCATGCCGACAACTTGGGTTATCAGTGCGGTGGCTGGACAATCACTTGGCAAGGCCTCAATGGCAACGATCTCACTGTTGGGACGTTTCCTCAAGCCTCTTCGCCGTTAATGGCAGCCACTAGCGCGCATCGGGGTGAGGTTGAATCTTTTGATCATATATATGTATATATATACAGGTACAAGGCCAGCCACTAGCGCGCATCGGGTTGAGGTTGAATCTTTTGATCATATATATGTATATATATACAGGTACAACCATCCTCACTGCAGTGAAGAACACGGTTGCTCCGACAACACAAGTCGTCTACAACCAGAACCCCGACACGAACTTTCTCAAGTCAAACAAGTTTGACTACGCCATTGTTGTCGTGGGCGAGCCACCTTACGCTGAAATGTTCGGGGACAGCACGAATCTGACCATAACCGAACCTGGTCCGAGCGCCATAACCAACGTCTGTGGAGCAGTGAAGTGCGTGGTCGTGGTCGTGTCGGGTCGTCCCGTTGTGATGCAACCCTACGTTTCCGGCGTCGACTCGCTCGTGGCGGCGTGGCTGCCGGGAACTGAAGGACAGGGAGTGGCTGATGTTCTGTTCGGAGATTATGGGTTCACCGGAAAGCTTGCTCGGACATGGTTCAAGACGGTGGATCAGCTTCCGATGAATGTCGGAGATCCGCATTACGACCCGCTGTTTCCGTTCGGATTCGGGTTGACGACGAAGCCCTCGAAGCAGTACTGATGAATCGAGGGAAAAGTTTCGAGATTTTTGTGATTGGAAATTGAATGTCGATGTTGAAGAGACATGGAGGTGTTTTGTTCTTTGTTCTTGATTGAGCAGAGGAAAGATTTAGTATTTGCTATAATGAATCGGCATGTTGAACGGATTGAACAATTATTGATAATAAACTTAATTTTTTATTTTAATAAAAATTTATAAAAAAATAAATAAAATAAAAAAGCTTAAATTACAAAATAATTACATCCACTATTTGAAATTTATAAAACAAAACGTTATCCAGTTCTCACGGAAATATTAATAGTCAAAGTACGTCATAGTAAAATCATTGAACAACAATTGAATATATATTTTAAAAGTAACAAATATTTATATTTTTAAATTTGAAGTATAATTCTGAGATATTTTATCGGTATTACTATTTTGGCGAGAGTTTGATAATATTTGAAAATTTTTATATTTATATGGATTTTTTAGATGATTGATATATTTAAAGTACATTTATATATTTGTTAAAATATCCCGGCATATCTTATGAGATTTTTTTTTCATTCTATTTATATCATATATAACGTTGGTTTTTGATGGAAATACTTTTATCTAGATAACAATCCAAGTCATTGGTAGTAGATAAATAGTTTAATTATCTAATGCAAGATTGGATAATACAAACCTAAATTTGGTAAACCAATTAATTCATATTTCATTGCTGTTTTCTTTATAATTAGAAAAAGGAAATAAATAGCAGAAAGATAAAAATAAAATAAAAAAAGGTAGACAGGATATCATGTGTTTATATAAAGAAGAAGTCCAAGGAGAAATAAACCACAAAAAAAAAAAAAAATCACCAAACTCTCTCAATTCAAAGACCGTAAGTTTCATCTTCTTCTTACATTTTTTTTTTCCTTCAGTCATGAGATAAAGTATATAGGCGACATAAGTGAATTTCTGAGTTGTGTTTTTCAGACAGTATTTAAATCTATGAAATGTTTTTTAAATACTGTAACATTGCTTCAGATCTAAAACCGTTGTTTCTAGTTTCCCGATGCATGAAATAAAACTCTAGTTTCTTGGAAATTTGAGATACAAAAATCGGTGACTTCTTGGCCAAGAATCTGATTTTTTTTGTCTTCTGCATTATTATGGATCTTCATGTAACTATGTCTCAGCTTCTGCAGTTTTCTGCCTTCTGAATTTTCCCGCATTTTTTTTTTTACATATTTTCGCTTTCTGTCATCCTTTTTTCATCAGAATTTGAACCTTTATTTGATGGAATTTGTCGATTCCCGGCATCATACCGACAAAAATGCCTAAACTCAGGTGTTTCGACCATCTTACTTGTGATCGTGATCGACAGGTAACGGATAAGAAGAAGAAGAAGATGGGGAATCTGAGTTTCGTGTTGCCGGCATTAGGGTTTCTGCTGTTGTGCTGTGCTGTGTCAGCCAAGCAACCTTCGACGAACGTCAAGTACAAGGACCCGAAACAGCCATTGCGAACAAGGGTCAAGGATCTGATGAGCCGAATGACACTGGAAGAAAAGATCGGTCAGATGGTTCAGATCGATCTCAGCGTCGCCAAGCCCGAAGTGATGACGAAATATCTCATCGGTAAGGCCGGAACTGAAAAGAATTCCCCTTCAACACGAAAAAAAACTCAATTTTTTTTTTCAGAACTTGATTTATGCCCTCCGAAATCTGGTCCAAGCCAGTGAGTGATTCATGGAGTGCCTGTATAATGTGTAGGGAGTGTACTAAGTGGAGGAGGAAGTGTTCCTGCGCAAAAGGCGAGTCCCGAAACTTGGGTGAACGCGGTGAACGACATCCAGAAGGCGGCCCTCTCGACCCGTCTCGGGATCCCGATGATCTACGGGATCGACGCTGTTCACGGCCACAATAACGTGTACAATGCCACCATTTTCCCACACAATGTAGGACTTGGAGTCACCAGGCAAGAAGCTCTGCACCATTTCTGACAAAAACCAATTCAAATCTTTCTGTTCTTTCCCGTAACGCCTTATCGTTGTTTCAGGGACCCGAAACTTGTTAGAAGGATCGGAGAAGCAACTGCACTCGAAGTCAGAGCCACCGGGATTCAATACGCCTTTGCGCCTTGCATTGCAGTAAGCAAAAAAGGGATCTGAAACGATTTTCGGATCCGTTCTTTGATGTTTCTGAACCGATTTTCTTGTTTTTTTGTTCCGCAGGTTTGTAGAGATCCGAGATGGGGACGATGTTACGAGAGCTACAGCGAGGATCACAGGATAGTGCAGCAAATGACCGAAATCATAACCGGTTTGCAAGGCGATCTCCCTGCAAAACAAAAGGGTATTCCTTTTGTTGATGGGAAGTAAGTGACTTTGTAAAACCATCTCTTGTATATGCTTCCTTTCTTATTGGATATGCCATCAAAATATATCAAGAAAAAAAGTAGGGGTGGACACGGGCGGATATCCCAAATTTTCGGGATATCCGACTTTGGCCTCTTCCCCTTGAATTTCTCGAGGAGTATTCATTCTCAATTTTGCGAGGGTCGGGCACCCGAAGTTTTGGATACCCGATGCGCCAAGGGTTCTAGTACCCGGTCAATGAGGGTAAGTGAGAGAGGAGCAAAACCGAGAGGGAGGCTAGGCACGGCGAAGGCGAAACGAGCGGCGAGACCGTGAAATCCTAATCTTTGGGTTATTCTCGGGCCCTAAACCTTGCTCACCCTCTCTCTTTCCCCCTTGGTTTCCGGAGACAACTCATCGAACCTCACATTCGCGATGGTTCGGGTTCTACTTCTCGGATTTCGAGCACCCATGTGGAACCCGAGTGACCGGGTATCCGTGCCTGACCCTAGCCAGAAAAAGGTTTGATCGCTCTAACACAAAAAAACATCGTTGTATTCAGGAGAAAGGTGGCGGCATGTGCAAAACACTTTGTAGGAGATGGAGGGACAGTGAGAGGGATCAACGAGAACAACACAGTCATCGACAAGAAAGGACTGTTCAACATTCACATGGCCGCTTACCACGACGCCGTCGACAAGGGCGTCGCCACTGTTATGATCTCCTACTCCTCCTTGAACGGCGTTAAGATGCACGCCAATAAGAAACTTGTCACCGGTTTCCTCAAAAACAAGTTGAAGTTCAAGGTATATATATATATATATATGTATGTATGTACATATGTATACACACTCGATGAACTCTTGAGTGATTTCGAAAATGTTCTTCCTTTTTTAGGGTTTCGTGATATCGGATTGGCAAGGCATCGACAAGATCACTTACCCTCCTCATTCCAACTATTCGTACTCCGTCTTCGCAAGTGTAACGGCGGGAATCGATATGGTAAGTCCGACAGTGTTTGTAGCTTTGAGATTTCCTGTCTGAACCGAACATCTTCTTGACGAATGTTTTCGGTTTTCTTTATTGCAGATCATGGTGCCGTACAACTACACCGAGTTCATCGACGAGATAACGAGTCAGGTGAAGAGGAAGATCATACCGATGAGAAGGATCAACGACGCCGTGGAGAGAATCTTGAGGGTTAAATTCACCATGGGACTGTTCGAGCATCCGATGGGCGATCATAGCCTCGCAAACCACCTCGGTAGCAAGGTATTTTCATCGTTATCCATTGTCTGAAAGTGAATTCTATAAAACCGTACCCGAACCCAAACATGAAAACTCTTGGGAGTTTGCGCTTTGACAGGAACATAGAGAATTGGCTCGGGAAGCGGTGAGGAAGTCGTTGGTATTGCTGAAGAACGGCGAAAACGCGGATTCGCCGATACTTCCATTGCCAAAGAAGGCGAAGAAACTGCTCGTAGCCGGGACGCACGCCGATAACTTGGGGAATCAGTGCGGTGGATGGACGATCACATGGCAAGGCCTCAACACAACCGATCTCACTATCGGTATGTATTCTCGAGCAGATGTATTGTTTATAGGGATAGACACGTGTATCGGTTATCCGAAAACTTTATATCACCAAACTTGCATCAAGATTCTTAAAAGGTTTGATGATGATGATGATGATGATGATGATGATGATGATGATGATGATGATGATGATGATGATGATGATGATGATGATGATGATGATGATGATGATGATGATGATGATGATGATGATGATGATGATGATGATGATGAACAGGTACAACCATCCTCACTGCGGTGAAGAACACGGTGGATCCGACCACACAAGTCGTCCACATCGAGAATCCCGACCGAGAATTCGTCGAATCCAACGGATTTGACTACGCGATCGTTGTGGTGGGTGAGCCGCCTTACGCGGAAGGGAATGGAGATAGTACTAACCTGACAATACCTGAACCCGGTCCGAGCACCATAACCAATGTTTGCGGATCAGTGAAATGTGTGGTGGTGATCGTTTCGGGCCGTCCCGTCATAACCCAGCCATACATTTCGGGTATCGATGCACTCGTGGCGGCCTGGCTTCCCGGAACTGAAGGCCAAGGAGTGGCTGACGTTTTGTTCGGTGACTATGGCTTTACCGGGAAACTGGCTCGGACGTGGTTCAAGACTGTTGATCAGCTTCCGATGAATTTCGGGGACCCGAATTACGACCCATTGTTCCCGTTCGGGTTCGGGTTAACGACGGAGGGGAAGAGACAGTATATGTCCAAGTAACCATTAGAAAGGAACAAAAAGCTATAAGCTCTTTGTGAATGGGCGAAGAATGTATTTGTCCTACCAAATCATTTCAAACATGAGGACAAAAAGAAGATAATAATGTGAGATTCGTTGTAAAGAATTTCGTGTACATACACTTATAGATCTACTTATATCTATGAAGTATTATACCATATGTTTAAACAATTTTCTTATAAAAGATTATCCCTTTCTTAAATAAAATGTAGTGAATTTCAGATTTTCAGCAAACCCTAATTCTGGGTTTTGGAATTTCAAACGCCAAAAGGTTTGCAAATGGGTTGGCCTCTAATGGACATTCAACCTTAAACAAAGACAAGTGTGCTTACAGAAAAGTACTTCACACCTGCTTCAACGGTAATTCTATAGAGTGAAACCACTTTATTGTGTTAAAACAAAGTAACTTGAATACTTTCTGTATAGATGCCATATGGACATGGCACATAACAAACGATCAATCGAAAGAGATTTATCAAAACTAAAGGCCAAGTCACCTAGTTACAATGGCCTTTACGTCATATACAAAAAAAAAGGATTTTTTTTTTAGATTAAATGCCATGTGAACATTGAATTACCTGGTGTGACCGGCCCTTTTGACTCTCTCTCTCTCTCTGTATATTCTCATTTCTTTGTGTAGGTAAGATACGGATCCTGTGCCATTGTTAGAACATCTGGTCTATCTGCTTGGTTATATGTTAGACACCGCCGGATCAGTTCCTGCGGAAAATCAAGTATTGTGTTGGTGACATGAAGGAGTTTATCAATGAGTGGGTATCAGCTATCAGGCATGAATACGAGGCTATATTTATAGCCCTTTTTTATCATATTCCCTAGATTCCGACTTTGAAGCATCCTCTCACATTTCTAATGTCCGAAAAACTTTGGCCATCAATCGGTTCTTGAACAGTCTAACTCGTATAAGATCAGCTTACCTTTGCTTCATTTGAGACAGCAGGTCTTGCAGGGAATTCCACCTTTCTTGCTTTGACGATGGTTTCTTCCCGTAATATCCGTTCTTGGCTTTGGTCATGCCCAAAAGGGCGCTTGCCGAATAGCATTTGGTAAAACAGAATACCAACCGACCATACATCGACCTGGGTATTATTCTGTATTAGCAGATAATTTACGTATATAGATAGCAAACCACATAAAGCAGAAGCTGCCCATAACTTGGAAACTATAGCCAAAGATTAGTTCATAGTTCGTGCTCTTTCATTCGTCATTTCCAGTATCTCTTTCGCAGGACAAAAGAAGAACAAGGTGATAAAAGATGATAAGAAACAGCCACTGACCTTTGATGAGATCATAGGTGTTTTGCTAAGCTCAAAGCATTCTGGTGGCAAGTACCTGAATTTACAGAATTCTCACTTCAGCAGGCATTTAGACGAAAGAGGTCAAACCGATATCAGTTCCATTTCTAAATTGAAACTATCGCTGTTACAAACTGGTTCTATGAAGGATAATATAAATGATATTCGGACCAAATTTAAGTGAAATCCCTTGGCTTAGATAAAGGTAGTGAAGGTAGACCGCTCACCAGTATGTTCCAGCACCCTGAGATGTAAGCTCCATCCCTTGAGAACCAACGTCATCCTCCATTATCTTGCTAAGACCAAAATCAGTCACTTTTGCTACACCAAACTCGTCGAACAGAACATTTCCAGGCTTCAGATCATAGTGGATTATCTTTTGTGATCTTTTGTTTAGATATATAAGACCCTGAACTATTTGAACGATGATAATCCTGGCTTCTTTCTCAGGAAGGACGGGTGTTGCCTTTAAAACAGCATCAAGATCTTTTCCTGCATTAAGAGACATCCAAAACATAAACATGAGAAGAATAGACTTCCTTCTACTATCTCAGAGTCAGAGGCAAAGCAATAGATCCATCTACTTACCACTACAGTATTCTAGAACAGTGCAGAAAGTATTCTGGTCGATTTCAAAAATATCCCGAAGCTGAACAATGTGGCGATGGACGAGAGTTTTATGGATATTGTACTCTCTGATGGCATGCCGGATATAACTTTGCTTCTTCTCTTCGCTCCACTGAACATTCAGCCCGTGAAGCTTGCATGCAACATATCTGTGATCCACCAAGTCATATGCCTGCTGCAAATTTGTAACCTCAGATCACTGCAAAAAGACTTGATCTTTTACAATTGCCAAGATTGGCAAAGGAACAGATAGACGTTCATAGTTGTAAAAAAACCCCTCCAAAGATTGTGCAAAAAATTCAACACATTAAACAAAAGTATTTGCCAATGTTCTGACCTTATAAACTTCACTAAACCCGCCTTTGCCAAGAAGATTTAGAAGTGCATATCGGCCATTCAGAACTGGAAAGTTGTTGAAACGAGAACCATCTTCATCTCTTATTCGTTTCATCTCCCGTATAAGTCGTCCCTTCTCCAGCTCATACCTGTCTCTCTCTCTCAGAATTACTTCCTCTTCCTAAAAAAGTCGAAAACCATTGGTTTAGAAAAGGAAATAAGCAACAAATGCTTGACCCCATATACATATAAAAAAATAAAAAGTCGAAACATTGCATAGATGGAAACATACACGCTTAATACTAGCCAAATGAGACTTGTAAATCTCGTCCTGGATGAGATAATCTTCCTCCTGTGCTCCTGATTCTGTATCAGTCCTGTCACCCTTATCTTCAAGCACATGGACAAAACCAAGGTTCTCAATATCAATATTGTTTCAAAGAAAGAAGGATAAACACACAGCTGATGTCAGTTTCAAAAGGAAACAAAAGAAACTATATAAGGTAGAAAAGAGTCGTACCGGTTTGTCGTTTTTTAAGCGACTTTCTTTGTCGTTCAATAGCCTCCTTAGTTTCTAGTAGTTGCCTCTGGTTGTTGCAAAGAATATAGAGAAATCAGAAATCGTAATGGATGGATCATTAACAATAGGAACTCTCTTTAGCCAGCAAAGCATACAAGATTAGCATTCAGATCTTTCAACATTTGACCATCCTCCCACGTCTCAGATATGATGGTTCCCGCCCTGAAATCACCAAAATAGCTCATATCAGAGAGATTGGAATTTGATTAAGGGGATCCTAAAAAACATCATCAAACCCTAATAAAAGTGATGGTTTAAGAGCTGCAGAATATTCTCGCTCTTTGTATCAGTTCTGCCGCAAAGCTTGTTACCTATGTTTTAACTACCCCATGTTAAATGATCAAAGAGTATGAAGGATCCCCTAAATGCCTAACAGGACCAATACATAACGTCTTACCTCAGCACACCAACACTGCCTAACCGCAGAGAATCCTGTTTTACTTTCATCCTCGCTTCTTGTCTCTCAACTTTGGAGACAGATATAAGTAGATCAGAGATTACTTTAGTTCGCTGCATCAAGAAAAATAAAGTTACAATTCAAAATGAGAGTGAGCTAACATTAACAAGACATTATGATCAGCTAAAGAAGATTTCCAAATGCTTGACGGAAAGAGCTCAGAGGATATGTGATGTAAATAAATTTGTGTTATTCCCGGTGACAAAGATGTGAAATAGAAAATCTTGATTTGAACCATAATTCTCATGTAGTATAGCAGTTCTCAAGCAGCAAGAGCAGCATAAGCTTAAATAGGGATCCTCCAATCTATACTTAAAAAAAAAATTCTTGAATATGCTTTGCAGGAAACATAACATAGTGAATAAAAAGCAGAAAAATCTCCCAGATTTACTTGAGAGAAAAAGAGAGTCACGAATCATAAAAAGCGGAATGCCAACGCTAGAGGAAAGATATGAAAACTACTTAGGATCTCTAATTGGGAGTTACAAATCAAAAAGGGATAATTGCCTGTATGGGCCTCACCTTTTGTTTCCTCAGTTGTTCTTGATCTTTAACATCTTTTAATTCCTGCATAAATCAGATTAGGATTAGTAAAAAGAAAGAGGAATGGCAAAGATGGTAACTATGCAACCAAGCTGCGTCAAAAATCAAAGCGTATTCATGCGTTACTTTCTCCAGTTGCCTGGAAAGGGTTTGATACTCAGATGCCTCTTGTCGAGATCTACGTAATTCCTCCTCCAGCATTGCAACTTTTCCATGCAAAGATGACAACTCCTCCTAGTTTTATAACAAAAGGATCAAAATAGTTAAAAAAGGTATACCTAAATAATTTCGTAATTGAGAACATCGACAGAGAGCAGTTTCCATATATTTTGACACGTGACGTGATATGACGCAAATACGGTTCAATAATTTACATATTCCCCTAAATAAGAAATATTACAAGGTAAAGGTTTTATTAGCTCTAAAATAGATAAGCTAAAGGAAATAATAGCAGAAATGGTACCTCCAGCTGAGTTTGGTCACCATTAAATGATTGTCTATCTGGCCTAGAATCCTGAACAACAAAAATACGGAATTATCACAGATAACTAGCCTGCAATTACTAAGACTACTAAGCATCTTGATGTGGAAGTTTTCTTCAAAGAGAAAAATGGAAATTGGTGCCACGATTTTTCCTTGACTTCCTACACTTTTTGCAACATAGACCAACCAGAAAATTCTCTTTCAGTACAAAGAATCAATTCAACTCCACGTGTTCTTGATGAAATTAAATCCGACAAAAAAAAACCCTTAAAAACCCTGTATCCTCCTCCGCTATTTGGGAAACCCTCGCCAGTGATAAGATATACTGACTGTAAGGCGAAATGAAAAAGTGACACTAACCTTTCGACCAGAAACATCGAGGTGGCCATTTGCAGCAGGCACAAGTGAAGCTGACGGGTGACATTTTGTCACATCGGTATTAGTTTTAGAACCGCGTCCTCTGCCAGATGTGGAACCCCGACCACGACCTTGTTTCTTCTTACTTACATCAAGACCCATCTTGGTCTCAGTTATTTCAGCAGACTTTTGCCCTCCACCAACAGCAGTCTCTTCAGACTTCAATCAAACGTTAGGGCAGTGTTATTCTTCATCACAAGTTCGAAGGTTTTCCGGAAAAAACGTTCACACCATAATAACTTCTTTAAATAGCTTAAATTAACTTGTGCAAGATAAAAAAAAATCTATAGGTCTGGAAAACAATCTGAACTGGAAAATCACCACCTCAGCACGATCAAAAGCTCCGGAGTGATTAGATTCTTGAATTTTCTGGCGCTTTTGGGTATTGGCTCGGATTAGGAAATCGCCTGTGCTCTGAAACAATGTCGAAAAAACTATGATGTGATAGCCGAGAACTGGTTCTTGCATAGAGAATTCTTCAGCAAAAGAATAGATAATGGCTATATGAAAGATGGAAAAGCAGAGTGATGACAATCTATGAGCATGATTATATCATTACAGCCCACATTGCACATTTCAAGGGTAAGAAATGAGATCATGACCCATATAGTCACAATGCGATCGTCTACTTTTATGTCATATGAGACTATATTACATGATCCCACCCACCATTAGCAAATGAACTAAGCATTTGATTGATCGACCAATTCAACGTGAGAAGAATCCAACACCATCTACCAAAAACACAGAAGATAGCATAAAAACCCTAATTCACCCACGTAAACTGTCAATGTGTATAAGAATCACAAGCTGCCACCTCGTCATCTGAATCACTGACTGAGTTCTCCGACAAGCTCGCCGCAGCGAATTTGACGGCGGAGGAAGTCGGAGACCAAACGGGGAGCTGCGGCTGCGGCGTAGGCTTCGCCGTCATGGAAGCGGAGGAGCCTCTTCCCGTCATGCGAGCTTCTAGCTTGGCGATTTTGTCGGGCAACGAGTGGTCCGACTGATTGGAGGAGTTAGAGGATAGATGCATCACCAAGTCATCAGACATTGCCACACTCTTCCGACGCAAAAGAACGCTCCCTAATCAATCAGATCATACACAACAGATTGAACAGCCAAAAATCAGGGGTTTTTCTAAAACAAAACTCGAAATTTAACCCTAGAATCTGGCTCTCTGCTAGAAAACCATCAATGGGTTATCCCAGAATCCACAGAGATTCGCAAGGAGAACAAGACTTAAGCAGAAAGATAGAGAAGAAGAAGAAGAACTCGGACTTCGGATTTGAGGAATGAAGGAGAAATATAGAGAATGAGACAACAAAAACTATGAACTCTATTTATGATGTGATTTTTGGTCAGTGTAACGATTCATGTACTTGCGTTTACGTTTAAGATCACAAAATTTGTACGATTAGTGAAATCGCATTTTCCAGATCGTGGTTTATTGCGTTTGCGTTTGCGTTTGCGTCGAAGTCAACAAGGATTGGTCTTTTCTACGTGTTTATTGCAGAGATGGCTAAAATTTCAAATTAATAAACTAAAATTGTATGTTTATGATTCGATGCTTTTTTGGAGATAACGCAGAAAAAAATTACAAATTCAGCTTAACTGATTTTAATTAATTGCATTATACATTGAAGTAAATAAAACACAAAAAAGGCAAAATATTACACGAGATAATATCAAACATAATATCTTTAAATTCGCATAGATTACCTATCTAATATGAATCATTATATTCTTTCTATAGATTGTGGATTTGATATTTACTGCAATACCTTCATTTGTTTTTTTTGTTTGTTGACGATTTTATATTCTATATTTTTTTTTTCACTAACGAGTTAGAGTAACTTTACATTTTTTTAATAACAAATACACACATACGTATATATATATATATATGTGTCATGTGTGTGTGTTTTATATAATATATAAAGAAACATTAGAGAAAATAGTTCCAAAATTGCTCAAAAACTAATTTTAGGAAAAAAAATTATTAAAAATCTATTTAAGAAACTTTTATAGATTCTCATGTGATGGGATGAAATAGAAAACTAATCTTAACTTAAAAACGTGTATTTTACTAATATAGTCCCAATAAAACTAACAGAATTAAAATGGACCAATGTTAGAAGATAATATCTTAAAATATTTACAAATTTAGTTGGACTGAAGTAAAAAGTAATTATGTAATTCATTTGAAGTAAACCCCAACAAAAATAATATAACAAAAACTTTGAAAGAAAATCTCACGTGAATGCATACGATACATGATGTCTTTAAATTTGTAAGTCCATTAAAAGACTTTGTTGAACGGCAGACCATAGACTTCACTAATATGTTTTTCACGAAATGATTGGAGTTATCTTTTAAATTTGAGATTCTACATTTAATAAGAGTTATTATTTTAGGTCATAAATTTTATTTTTTTAACTATATTACATCATATATATATATATATAT